TACTATAAATCATGATAATTGACAATATAAAATATGTTTTGAAAAAATTTCACTGATTCTTGAAGTGAATCTATCGTAAAAATACTATAAATCATGATAATTGACAACATAAAATATTTCAAAAATATTGTATGTGGATAGTCTTATTATGCCTTAAATAGCGTCAAAGAAAGTACAGATTTGTGATAAAAAACTTATTCCTTTATCCACGCAAATAATCGCTTCAAAAACTTGATTATTAGCCCCAAAACATACCATTTATACTATAGCACGGGCCACATTATCTAGTATATACTATATAGTACAATATAGGGAAATAAATTATAAATTCATGTAAACCATGTCTTATTCTTCATCAAGAAAGATGCTAATCCTCACACGTCACAACTACGTATTACTTTTGTATGTATATATAATATATACAATAATAACAACAATTCTCTCTGTCTTATTAATTCATGTACACCATGTCTTATTCTTATTTTAATAATTAATAAAGAAGTATTTTCTACTATTATTTTAATTACAAAAAGTCATGTTTGGTGAAGTAGTATATTTCGTATAAATTTTGGTTTGAAAAAGACTATCAAAATTAAGAATTGATCAAATCCATATAAATAAAACTCAACTCAATTAATTCAAGACATGGAATTTTTTCAACAATTTTGACGTATAATTTTATTTGTTTGTTTTTTAACCAAGCTTAGAATTGAACTTGACTTATTCAGCAAAATTAATGAGCTAAGCAGCCCTTTCCGTACTATATTAACCATTTTTATTTTTATTTTAAATTTAAAGTCGGGCATAGACCCCTTTTATTGCAAAATATAACCAACTGTACAAGATCAGGCCCAAAAGTGGCCTTGTCCAATAAGACAAAAATAAAAGGGAAAACAACACAAATCCCACTAGTTTAGGAGCTAATTACCTTCTTTCCCATGAGTTTGCAATATTACCAAGCCTACCATAATTTGTTCTGCGGATACACGTATCTAACGCGCCTAGATACATGTATCTCAAATACATGTATCTTGATAATTGCATCTAAATAAAGAAGGTAATTGATACATGTATCTCGATAATTGTTTCTAAATAAGGAATGTAACTGATACATGTATCTCGAATACATGTTAATTAATCAGATACATATAATTAAGTTTATTTAAATAAGGAATGTAACTGAAATACATAAATTAAGGAGGAAATCACACGTATAACATCTTTGGAGTATCTACGGCTCATAAGAAAATATTTTAAAATTTGAATTTTTGTGTATATGATATGTTCATTATATGTATCTAAATTATTCTTTTATGTATCTGACGTTTCTTCTATGTATCTAATATATACTTAATGATTAGATGTATTGATCTGTCCATTCTATGCACCTAAACTGTTTTTCTATGTATCTTATAACCAACAAAAAAATGTCCAATTTTAGCGGCTATGAAATGGCTCCCTTCTTCGACTTCCTCGATGTTGTGCGCCATAGTTGATAATGAAGTCAATTGTGTTGGTTGCTATGACTGGATTTTTGGATATTTATGAATTAATCATAGTTGTGATTATTAATTAGTACATGGGTTAACCCCAAAATCAATTCCTAGTATCTTTTTGATAGATATCCTCACCTTTCCTCCGATCTTACTTGTGGTCTTGCTAACTTCTCTGTTGGTATGGCCATCGCCCATCGTAGTGTTAGTGACGCTAGGAGAAAAAATGTGGAAGAGAAATAATTAATTTGGTGTCAAGGTATAAATTATGGAGAGAATTAAGTGAGTAAATAATTGAGGACTCTATTTTAGGTTAATTTTAA